TACTAAAAATACAAAAAGTTAGCTGGGCGTGGTGGCATGTGCCTGTAATCCCAGCTACTCAGGAGGCTGAGGCAGGAGAATTGCGAACCGAGATCGCGCCATTGCACTCCAGCCTGGGTAACAAGAGGGAAACGCTGTCTCAAAAAAAAAAAGAATCTTCACAACTCTGGGACATAGGTACAATTACTATCCTTATTTTGCAAAGAAATTGAGGCACAGAGCAGTTAAGTAACTTGCCCAAGGTCATGCAACAAAGCTTAGCTTAAGTCAATGTAGCAGCCCTCCCGAGCTAGCCTCTTGAACCCAGACACTATTTGTAGACACACGCAACGTTCTTCAACTCCAAACTGGCACTCTGTTTCCTGTTTGATACTAAGAATGTAACTTCTTCGTGGACATGCAGGGGACAATGTGGTCTAAACACACAAAACACAAGTAGAGACAAAGTTAATATATACTATAGAACTGGGTGCCCACGCCTGTAATTCCAGCACTTTGGGAGGCTGAGGCAGGAGGACATCTTGAGCCCAGGAAGTAGAGGCTGCAGTGAGCTATGATTACACCACTTTACTCTAGCCTGAATGACAGACTGAGACCCTGCCTCTAAAAAGATGTAGATACAGGGCTGGGCATCATGGTTCACGCCTATAATCCCAGCACTTTGGGAGGACAAGATGGGAGGATTGCTTGAGGCCAGGAGTAGAGACCGGCCTGGTCAACATAGCAAGAGCCCCATCTCTAAAAATCGAAATTAAATTAAATTAAAATACAGATACACATATGGAAGAGCCCGAGCATTTCCTTGGTCATGAGGAACTGGCCATTGTCTCCTAGAGCAAATGACTCTGGTTTCTTGACAGATTCCCTCATAACCTCTCCTTACTACACACTCTTAGATATTGAGAAGAAAATGCCAGAGGGGGTGTTTACATTCCAGCACTCTGATTAAAGATGGGTTTATACACTAATGACACATGGATGACACATCACAGCTGATGGGTCGTAATGGAGCACTCAAAACTTCGGCATCTCATTTAATCATCACCCTCATCTGTCCAGTGAGTTCAGCTTTATTATCCTCAGTGTACAAACAGGCCACATTGTCCAGTACACAGAAAAACTGGGATTCCTGTCTTCTAACTCCAAAATGAGCTCTTCCCCTTGCCACAGGACTTGCTGTGACAGAAAAATGAAAACAAAAACAAAGCCAGGTAACCAAACAATCTGGAGCATCTCCAGTGGCCATATTTTTTCTTTCTTTCTTTTTTTTTTTTTTAGATGGAGTTTCACTCTTGTTACCCAGGCTGGAGTGCAATGGTGCGATCTCTGCTCACCACAACCTCCGCCTCCTGGGTTCAAGCGATTCTCCTGCCTCAGCCTCCTGAGTAGCTGGGATTACAAGCTCGCGCCACCACCATGCCCAGTTAGTTTTTGTATTTTTAGTAGAGACGGGGTTTCACCTTGTTGACCAGGATGGTCTCGATCTCTTGACCTCGTGATCCACCCGCCTCGGCCTCCCAAAGTGCTGGGATTACAGGCGTGAGCCACGGCACCCGGCGGCCATATTTTTAACCTGTCCACATATTCTTATTCTGAATACATGAAAAAATGACTGGATCTCAATTTATTTGGAAGTTAGCTATATATGCTCTTGGTATACCACCTCTATTATTTTATTGCAACTTAATTTGCGTATGTGTTTATTATTCCTCTCTAGGTAATAAATAACATCATTCCGCACTTGGCTGTTCCAGCTTTCACCCATCCCACAAGACTCAGGTCTTGCATTACCTACTCTCAGAAGGCTTCCTCGCCTCATCCCCACTTTGAATTTGTGTTTGGTGCACTTCCTGGGCCTTCACAGCCCCCTGAGTTTATCCTCATAAGGCTAGGCACAGTGGCTCATGCCTGTAATCACAGCACTTTGGGAGGCTGAGGTGGGCTGATCATTCGAGCACAGGAGTTTGAGGCCAGCCTGGTCAACATGGTAAAACTCACATTTTGTTTGTTTGGTGTTTTTTTTTTTTTTTTTGGTAAAGAATTTTTTTTTGCAGTCCTTTTTAAAATATCAAGTTGATACAGCATAAAATGAAATGTAGTGAGTGGTCTGGTGAAGGAGGACAGTGTATGCTGGGATTTTTTGGGAGGAGCTTGGTGAATGTCACTGATTTTGCAGACTTGGCCTCAACTTGTGACAGAAACCCATCTCTACTAAAAATACAAAGAGTAGCTGGATGTGGTGGCACCTGCCTGTAGTCCCAGCTACTTGGGAGGCTGATGTAGGAAAACCATTGAGGCTGCAGTGAGCCATGATCACACAACTGCACTTCAGCCTGGGTGACAGAATAAGACTGTCTCAAAAACAAAATAGGCTGGGTGTGGTGGCTCAGGTCTGTAATCCTAGCACTTTGGGAGGCCAATGAGGGCAGATCACTTGAGGTCAGAAGCTTGAGGCCAGCCTGGCCAACATGATAAAACCTCATCTCTACTTGAAATACAAAAATTAGGCCAGGTGCGGTGGCTTAAGTCTGTAATCCCAGCACTTTGGGAGGCCGAGGCGGGTGGATCATGAGGTCAAGAGATTGAAACCATCCTGATCAACATGGTGAAACCCCATCTCTACTAAAAATACAAAAAATTAGCTGGGCATGGTGGCGCGTGCCTGTAATCCCAGCTACTCAGGAGGCTGAGGCGGGAGAATTGCCTGAACCCAGGAGGCAGAGGTTGCGGTGAGCCGAGATCGCGCCATTGCACTCCAGCCTGGGTAACAAGAGTGAAACTCCGTCTCAAAAAAAAAAAAAAAAAAAAAAGAAGAAAGAAATACAAAGATTAGCCAGGCATGGTGGTGCCCACTTGTGATCCCAGCTACTTTGGAGGCTGAAGTAGGAGAATCACTTAAACCCAGGAGAGGGAGGTAGCAGTGAGCCAAGATCAGAGCGAGACTCCATCTCAAAAGTAAAAACGAAAATAAGAAACATAAAACAGCAATTAAAAAAAAAAAAAAAACACTGCATTGTTTTAACTTGCTTCCTGTTTTCCCCATGAGGGAAAGTCCTTACCTTTCTCCCTGAAGACTTTTATTTCTGAACCTCCAGTGCCCTACACAGTGCATGACATGAAGCAAATGCTGGAGCATGTTTCTGTAATCAGGTAATAAATAACCATCTGAGAGTCCAGAGCTGCAGGCTCCACTCCTGGCTCTGTGACTGCATATGGGTTTTTCAATGAGGCCCTACAACCCTCTGGTTATCAGGTTCTTTAACGATAAATTAAGGAGGCTGAACTAAAACTATGATGATCCTTTCAGCTCCAAATGTCTGTTCATTTGACTGTAATACTGGATGGTAGATGGCGGACTTGAAAATAAAAGTCAGTCCAACTTAAAATTTTCTTTTTTTTTTTTTGTCTTTTCTTTTCCCCAGATGGAGTCTTGCTCTATCACCCAGGCTGGAGTGAAGTGGCATGATCTCAGCTCATTGAACCTCCACCTCCCTGGTTTAAGCAATTCTTCTGCCTCAGCCTCCCAAGTAGCTGGAATTACAGGTGCCTGCCACCCCACCCAGCTAATTTTTGTATTTTTAGTAGAGACAGGGTTTCACCATGTTGGCCAGGCTGGTCTCAAACTCCTGACCTGATGATCTGCCGACTTCGGCCTCCCAAAGTGCTGGGATTATAGGCATTAGCCTCCGCAACTTTCCTACTGCTAAAATTTCCTTAGCTGCTGGGAGTCCAGCTAGATATTCTGGATAACAGACACAGTGGGGACCAAATACCCCGGGAGGAAGGAAGTAAGATGTGACTGCAGAGTTGCTCTTGTTGCAGTTTAATAATTTTTAAAATATGGCCCAAAGTCTTCAGATTTATGGCAATCAATCTTAGGTAACTTATTTGGATATGCACTTTGTTCAAGTAAGTGAGTGAACACACACACAAAAGTTGGAAAGGGATAGAAAACGAGAGAAGGAAAGAGGAGAAAGGATCTCCACCATAGGATTGATATTCAAACTCTCAAACTTTAAGACAGATCAATTGGAAAGTGGATATCAACACTGCAAAAAGATTTTTCATTTTACACAAGGAATACCAGCCTGCACTGAACAGTAAGTAGGATGTTTTTATTTTGCTACATTTGGCTTACCTCTAAATTTTTAAAAAACAAATCTATCAAATAAAGCAAAGTATGTCTGTACTTAATTATATTTACAAAAGATTATCTGAATTATTTCCAGTTTTTGGAATAGCTACCATGAGTCCCATGCCATAGCTCCATTTTATTGCTAGGACATTTTTTTTTTTTGTCATCTAGTGATAACTGTTACTATTTTATTGTATGTTCTGTCATTTAAAATTACATAATCATGACTTTTTATATAAATGGGATCACAGCCTGCACACTGCTGTATTAGTTGCTTTTTGAGTTGGCAATACAGCATTAGCAGCTTGTGTTTTCTTCCAAGGACTGCCAAAACAAAGTGAATGGCTTAAAACAGTAGACAAGTATTACAGGTTTACAGGCTGGAAGTCCAAAATCAACATGCCTGCAGGGCCACGTTCCTTCCAAAACTGAGGATGACCTTTTGTGTGTTTTGGGTGCATTTTATTTGTTTATTTCTTTCAATTTGACAGTCATTTATTTATTTATTCATCTTTCTTTTTTTTTTTTTTGAGATAGGGTCTCATTCTGTCACCCAGGTTATAGCACAGTGGCACAATTATAGCTCACTGCAGCCTCAAACTCCTGGGCTCAAGTAATCGTTCTGCCTCAGCCTCCCAAGTAGCTGGTACTACAGGCATGTGCCAACACACCTGGTTAATTAAAAAAAAGGTGGTTTTTTTTGGTACAAATGGGGTCTCTTGATATTACCGAGGCTGGTCTCAAATTCCTGGTTTTAAGTGATCCTCCTGCCTCAACCTCTCAAGGTGGTAGAATTACAGGTGTAAACCACTGCTCCCTACCTATATATTTTTTATTTTAAAAAATATATATTAAAATTTTTAAAATAAATATGGGACACTTCAAAAATTTGCATGTCATCCTTACACAGGGGCCATGCTAATCTTCTCTGTATTGTTCTAACTTTTAGTATATGAGCACCATTTTTTTTTTCGAGACAGAGTCTCACTTCATCACCCAGGCTGGAGTTCAGTGGTAGGATCTTGGCTCGCTGCAACCTCCACCTCCTGAGTTCAAGTGATTCTCATGCTTCAGCCTCCCAAGCAGCTGGAATTGTAATACAGGTGTTCACCACCAAGCCCGGATAATTTTGGTATTTTTAGTAGAGATGGGGTTTCACCATGTTGGCCGTGATGGTCTCAATTTCCTGACCTTGTGATCCACTCTCCTTGGAGTGAGCCAGGATTGCACCACTGCACTCCAGCCTGGGCAACAGAGCAAGACGTCATCTCAAAAAAAAAAAAAAAAGAAAAGAAAAAAGAAAGAAAGGAAAAAGAAAAGTAACCCCATAGTGAGCTCAGCTCAGGGGTAAGTCCTGAATATTCTAATGGCCATTCCATTCCCCTTCCCAGTGACTGGTTTATAGAGTGGGCATATGACTAGTATCTCATCAATGATGTAAAGAGGAACCTGACTGGGGGCAATGGCTCACACCTGTAATCCTAACACTTTGCGAGGCCAAGACAGGCAGCTCACTTGAGGTCAGAAGTTTAAAAAACCAGCCTGGCCAACACGGTAAAACCCCATCTCTACTAAAAATACCAAAAAAAAAAAAAAGAAAAAAATCAGCCAGGTATGGTGGCAGGCGCCTATAATCCCAGCTACTCAGGAGGCTGAGGACGGAGAATCACTTGAACCTGGTAGGCAGACATTGCAGTGAGCTAAGATCACGCCTCTGCACGCCAGCCTGGGTGACAGAGTAAAACTCCATCTCAAAAAAAAAAAAAAAAAAAAGGTGGGGGGACCTTCCAGGGGGTTATTTGTAGGATCTCTCTTTTTTTCGTTTTAGTAAGTACGCTGCTCAATAATGAATTCAGGATATATTTTTAAAAAATTTGCCAGGTGCGGTGGCTCACGCCTATAATCCCAGCACTTTGGGAGGCCGAGGTGGGTGGATCACTAGGTCAAGAGATCAAGACCATCCTGGTCAACATGGTAAAACCCCGTCTCTACTAAAAATACAAAAAAATTAGCTGGGCGTGGTGGCGAAGCCTGTAGTTCCAGCTGCTCCGGAGGCTGAGGTAGGAGAATTGCTTGAACCCAGGAGGTGGAGGTTGCGGTGAGCCAAGATGATGTGATTGCACTCCAGCCTGGGTAACAAGAGCAAAACTTCGTCTCAAAAAAAAAAAACAAATTTTTTTAAAAAATATATATTTTAAATAAAAATTTAACAAAAAAAGAGAAGGAGTTTCATCATGTTGCCCAGGCTGGTCTCAGATTCCTGAGCTCAAGCAATCTGCCTGCTCCTGCCCACCGGAATGCTGGGATCACAGCCGTGAATTGATATATTTTAATCTATGGAGGGTTTTATGTGTTTTTGTTGTTGTTAGTCTTTATTTATTTATTATTTTTTTAGACGGCATCTGGCTCTGTCACCCAGGCTGGAGTGCAGTGGCACGATCTTGGCTCAGTGCAACCTCCACCTCCTGTGGTTCAAGCAATTCTCCTGCCTCAGCCTCCCGAGTAGCTGGGATTACAGATGCATGCCAGCATGCCTGGTTACTTTTTGTATTTTTAGTAGAGACAGGGTTAAGCCATGTTGGCCAGGCTGGTTTCAAACTCCTGACTTCAGGTAATCCATCAGCCTCGGTCTTCTAAAGTGCTGGGATTACAGGCGTGAGCCACTGTGCCTGGCCTTGTTTTAATTTTTTAAATATGGAATGCTTCACAAATTTGCATGTCATGCTTGCGCAGGAGCCATGCTAATCTCTGTATTCTTTGAATTTTAGAAAATATGCTGCTGAAGCGAGCACTTAACCTATCGTTTTAATTGAAAAGATAATCTGGCCAGGCGAGGTGACTCATGCCTGTTAATCTCAGTACTTTGGGAGGCTGAGGTAGGTGGATCATTTGACATCAGGAGTTCAACACCAACCTGGCCAACATGGTGAAATCCAGTCTCTACTAAAAATGCAAAAAGTATCTGGATGTGGTGGCACGTGCCTGTAAGCCCAGCTACTTGGGCGGTTGAGGTGGGAGGATTGCTTGAGCCCAGGAGTTCAAGGGTAGAGTGAACTATGATTCTGCCTCTGCATTCCAGCCTGGGCGACAGAGTGAGACTCCATCAAAAAGAAAGGAACGAACAAACGAAAGAGAGAAAGAAAGAGAGAGAGAGAGAAAGAAGGAAAGAAGGAAGGAAAGAAAGAAAAAGAAAGGAAAGCAAAAGAAAGAAAGGAAGGAAAGAAAGAGGAAAAGAGGGAGGGAGGAAAGAAAGAAAGAAGGAATAACTAACTTGGCTAGGCACGTAATCATGCCTGTAATCCCAGCACTTTAGGAGGCTGAGGTGGGCAGATCACCTGAGGTCTGGAGTTTGAAAACAGCCTGGCCAACATGGTGAAACGTCCATCTCTACTAAAAATACAAAAACTAGCCAGGCGTGGCGGCAGGCACCTGTAATCCCAGATACTCTGGAGGCAGGAGAATCTCTTGAACCCAGAAGGCAGAGATCACACCATTGCACTCCAGCCTTGGTGACAAGAGCGAAACTCCATCTCAAAAAAAAAAAAAAAAAAGAAAAAGAAAAAAAAAGGAAGGAAGAAAGAATAACCTATCCTTTTACTTACATAAAGGCTGATTTCTTAATAGTCTCTCAATCAACTGTGTAAAAAATATTTAGTGCTATACTGAATACAAAACTGGACTTTACCCAAAGATGGTGTAGACCAAAGGTCACTTTAACTTTTTTGTTAAATGCCTTATCAGATAGCCAAATCAAAAGTCAGATCTGGCATCCATACTTTATTATAAAGGTAAGGAGCTTAACTTAGGCATTACTATGAAAAGAAATTCAGTGTCACTTGTTCAAGTCGTTAGCCCCTTAACTGACACCCCCAATCTCTGATACAATGATTAGCTGCAGACAGGCCTAAATAACCACAGTAGTTACTACTAGAGTTCAAGAGCTATGATTCTGCTTGCGCTGCAGCCTGGGAGACAGAGTGAGACCTCATCAAAAAGAAAAGAAGGGAAGAAAGAGAGGAAGAGAGTAGTAGCTACTACTGCGGTTAGTTAGGCTTGTCTCAGGAACCCTACTGAGACTGGATTCAGGAAAGAATGCAAACGTGTGTTCACTTTTAATGAACTAACTAAGGGAAAGCATTCCTTAAACCTCCCTCCAGTTGGGCAGCCACTTTATAAAAAATTTAAAATTTCATCATATCAGAACAAAGAAATGCAGAATTAGGGTCAGTGAGAATGTGCAGTTATTTGTCATTCTGCTCTAATTCCCCTACCAATATGGTCTACTCATGGCCATTTTACTAGAGCTGTTATTAGAAAGCTTGGTCATCTCAGTTAAAAAGTGCACATTGCGGTGGCTCTTGTCTGTAATCCCAGCAATTTGGGAGGCCAAGGCAAGAGGGTAACTTGAGGCCAGGGATTCGAAAACAGCCTGGGCAACATAGGGAGACCCCCATCTCTATAAAAATACGAAAAATTAGCCAGATGTGTTGGTGCATGCTTGTAGCACCAGCTACTTGGGAGACTGAGACAGGAAGATTGCTTGAGGCCAGGACTTTGAGGCTACAGTGAGTTGTGATTATGTCACTGAACTCAAGCCTTGGTGACAAACTGTGAACTTGCCTCTAAAAAGAAAAAGCTCATGTCTTTATTTTAAAGTAATTTGTTTGCTCCTGGCACTCTAGGTTGTAGTTATCTTGAAGCCCATAAATCTGGGGTTGTACAAAACATATTCTCATGCATTTTAACTTTTAGCTTCTCAACTATTGGAGTTTCAGGATTCACCTCTTTTTTTTTTTTTTTTTTTTTTGAGACGGAGTTTCACTCTTGTTACCCAGGCTGTAGTGCAATGGTGCGATCTCGGCTCACCGCAACCTCCGCCTCCTGGGTTCAGGCAATTCTCCTGCTTCAGCCTCCTGAATAGCTGGGATTACAGGCATGCGACACCATGCCCAGCTAATTTTTTGTATTTTTAGTAGAGACGGGGTTTCGCCATGTTGACCAGGATGGTCTCCATCTCTTGACCTCATGATCCACCTGCCTCGGCCTCCCAAAGTGCTGGGATTACAGGCTTGAGCCACCGCGCCCGGCCAGGATTCACATCTCTTATGTAAAAACAAAATAGGTTTCAGTGTTGTCATGTACCTGGTTCATGTCCCCTGCCTGTTTGATGGATGTTGTACTTCCTTTCCAATATTTATTGTAGAAACGCCCACCTCTTGTCTTCTGTGTCTACTCATTGTCCTCAATTTTCTGTTCACTGATGACTCAGAAGCAAAGAGATGACGGATATGAGCCTCAGACAGTCTAAGCCTCATAACTGGGGAGGAAAAAGGGCATGACCACTTCGTACCTTTAGCTTGGCACACAGAAACCAGGCTCTTTCTACTGTCTCTCAAAGGACATTCTGACCTTTTTGATTTGGTTTCCTACTACAGGATTTGTCTGAGATCACTGGCTAGTACTACAAGAATGTCAATAACCATCTGCCAAACTATGAAAGGAGAAAATACTAGGAGCCAGGCTGGCTATGTAAATTACCATGGTGAGTGACTGGACACACTTGACCTTATTTGACAAACCCTGAAGCCGGGTCCGGTCCCAGCTCCATAGAGAAGAGAGTACAACAGAGTGATGCGTGCTCGAGCTCTAGGGCTAGACAGACACATGAATCTCAGCCCCAGTCCTTCCTAACCAATGGACCTTGGGAAAATAATTTGACTTTACAACTCTCTGCTTTTCTCATACTTTTTTTTTTAGATGGAGTCTCACTCTGTCACCTAGGCTGGGGTGCAGTAGCACAATCATAGTTCACTACAGCCTTGAACTCCTGGGCTCCAGCAAGTCACCCATCTCAACCTCCTGAGTAGCTGGGACTACAGATATACACCACCACACCTGGCTAATTTTTGTATTTTTAGTAGAGACAGTGTTTCACCATGTTCGTGAACTCCTGATCTCAAGTGATCTGCCCACCTTGGCCTCCAAAAGTGCTGGGATTACAGGTGTGAGTCAGCGTGCTCAGCCTAAAATTTCTTTAATAGAGAGGAGCTCTCTCTAAGTTGCCCAGACTGGTCTCAAACTTCTGGGATCAAGTGACCCTCCTGCCTCGGCTTCCCAAAGTGCTAGGATTAGAGACATGAGCCACCGAGTCAAGCCATGGGAACTGTTTTAAATAGTGGAATATAAAGCGACATTTACAATATGTTACAACTTTGTCTATATTTAATTGGGAGCTCTCTCTAAGTTGCCCAGACTGGTCTCAAACTTCTGGGATCAAGTTGTTGTTGTCTCACTCTGTCACCTAGGCTAGAATGCAGTGGAGCAAATAGGACTCACTGCAGCCCTGTTCAACCTCCCAGACTCAAAAAATATTCCTGCCTTGGCCTCCTGCCTAGCTGGGACCACAGGTTCATGCCATCATACCTGGTCAATTACTTTATGTTTTGTAGAGATGGGGTCTCATTTTGCTCCCCAGGCTGCTCTTGAACTAGAAGAAAATACTTCAAAACACAATCTCAGAATGTCAGAATTACAGGTGATTCATATACCTTTTCTTCTGCTTGCCACTAAGTTGTTTTAATCTCTCATTTTTTTGCATACAGACTTTTATATAAATGAAATCATATATCTATACTTCATTTCCTCCTTGTTTGCTTGGTTCTTTCACTCATATAGTTCCATTGATTGCTCATTCAACAATAAATTTTTTTAGTAAATATTTCACTTTTTTTTCCTTCTAGAATATAAATCCTGATATTTCCCTTTTTTTTTTCAACACAAGTTCTCAATGTCCCCCCGGCTGGAGTACAGTGGCATAATCACTGTCCCCTGTAGCTCACGGTAGCCTTGAACTCCTAGGCTCAAGTGATCCTCCCACCTCAGCCTCTCAAAGCGCTGGAATTACAGATGTGAAGCACTGCGCTTGGCCTATCACTCATTTTTTTTTAAGTAGTGTTCAAAATGAACAATATTATCTGGCCAGGCCCCATGGCTCACCCATGTAATCCCAGGACTGTGAGAGGCCAAGGTGGGCAGATCACGAGGTCAGGAGATCAAGACCATCCTGGCCAACGTGGTAAAACCCCATCTCTACTAAAAATACAAAATGGCTGGGCATAGTAACATGTGCCTGTAATCCCAGCTACTCTGGAAACTGAGGCTGGAGAATCACTTGAACCCAGAAGATGGAGGTTACAGTGAGCCGAGATTGTGCCACTGTGCTCCATCCTGGGTGACAGAGAGAGACTCCATCTCAAAAAAAAAAAAAAAAAAAAAAAAAAAGCCTGGCCAACATGGTGAAACCCCATCTCTACTAAAAATACAAACAGTTAGCCAGGCATGGTGGCAGGAGCCTGTAATCCCAGTTACTCGAGAGGCTGAGGCAGGAGAATGGTTTGAACCTGGGAGGCAGAAATTGCAGTGAGCCAAGATAGTGCTATTGCATTCCAGCCTGGGCAACAAGAGTGAGACTCCAGCTCAAAAAAAAAAGAAAAATAATGAGTTTCATTTGGAATATTATGCATATGTTTACTAAAGGACATAATGCATTACCAACTCTGTTTACAGTTCTTCGAGTTTCTCCAGTGTATACCTGCAATATTAATATTAATAGCAAATTTATTGGCTGCCGTGTGCCAGCCATATATATCATTATATTCACAAAATAATTTTTCAAACATTTTAATAATAGCTTTTCAAGCAACATAATAGCATTAAAGTCAGACATGGATTTGAGTCCAGCTCTATCAATCACATACCATCTGTGTAGCATTGATCAAATTACTTAAATTTTTCAAGCATTAATTTTTCTCATGTGTAAAATAGAGATAAAATTTAAAATTTATAAAGAAGTAAATGATAGAATGTATGTAAAGCACTTAGAAGAGTACCTGGCATAATTCTGTGCTCAATAAGTGTAGAAATGGCCAGGCACAGTGGCTCATGCCTGTAATCCTACCACTTTGGGAAGCCGAGATGTGAGGATCACTTAAGACAAGGAGTTCAAGACCATCCTGGGCAACATAGTGAGACTCCCCTCCATCTCTATTTTTTAAAAAGACAAAAAGAAAAAATGAAGATTAAAAAGCTGTAGAAATAATATAAGAGGATATAGATGTAAAGAAAATTTGAAAATCTAGTCAAAGATCACATTTCTAATAACAGAGCTGTTCCAATTCTAATATTGTAATATTAGTATAAGTGAAATAAAGCATCAAGATCATACTAAATTAGATTATACTAAATGATCTTAAAGCAAAAAGTCACAAAATTTAAACACAGCACAATTAAATTCTGAGATAATAGAAAATAATGAAAAAGTGGGTAATTGGCGGGCGCGGTGGCTCAAGCCTGTAATCCCAGCACTTTGGGAGGCCGAGGCGGGTGGATCACTAGGTCAACAGATCGAGACCATCTTGGTCAACATGGTGAAACCCCGTCCCTACTAAAATTACAAAAAAATTAGCTGGGCACGGTGGTGCGTGCCTGTAATCCCAGCTGCTCGGGAGGCTGAGGCAGGAGAATTGCCTGAACCCAGGAGGCGGAGATTGCGGTGAGCCGAGATCACGCCATTGCACTCTAGCCTGGGTAACAAGAGTGAAACTCCGTCTCAAAAAAAAAAAGGAAGAGTGGGTAATTGAAATCACAATTTTAATAAAGAAAAATCAAAAAATAAAAATAAGAATGAAACCACAATTCCAAGTGTTTACCTACAACTTCAATTTTTTTTTCCTCTCTTTCTCTTTTTTTTTTTTTTTTTTTTTTGAGATGGAGTTTCGACTTTGTTGCCCATGCTGGAGTTCAATGGCACTATCTTGGCTCACTGCAACCTCTGCTCACTGCAACCTTCACCTCCCGGGTTCAAGCAATTCTCCTGCCTCAGCCTCCCATGTAGCTGGGATTACAGGCAAGTGCCACCACACCTGGCTAATTTTGTACTTTTAGTAGAGACAGGGTTTCTCTATGTTCGTCAGGCTGGTCTTGAACTCCTGACCTCAGGTGATCTGCCTGCCTCAGCCTCCCAAAGCACTGGGATTATCGCTGGGAGCCACCACATCTGGCCTTGTTTTTTACTTATTAGGTAAACATAGAAAAAGTGGATAGATAGGTCATAGCCTTCTGAAAAGTGCAAAAGGATCAGGAAAATCTAAAATGCTAATTAATAATCAGTGTCAACACAATGCTTGAGAGTATAAGGCCGGGCACAGTAGCTCATTCCTATAATCCCAGCACTTTGGGAGGTCGAGGCAGGTGGATCACGAGGTCAAGAGATCAAGACCATCCTGGTCAACAAGGTGAAACCCCATCTCCACTAAAAATACAAAAATTAGCTGGGCATGGTGGTGCACACCTGTAGTCCCAGTTACTCGCGAGGCTGAGGCAGGAGAATTGCTTGAACCCAGGAGGTGGAGGTTGCGGTGAGCCGAGATCATGCCATTGCTCTCCAGCCTGGGTAACAAGAGTGAAATTCCATCTCAAAAAAAAAAAAAAAAAAAAAGAGAGAGAGAGAGAGAGTATAAATTGTCAGATTCATGAAAATAAAAATAACAGGTAGAAAATGAGCCTATCATTTTGAAACTTTTTGTTTTTATAATTTCATGTAGTATAAAGTGACCTTTCTTCTTCTTCTTTTTTTTTTTTTTTAAATTAAGTGACCTTTCTAAGTATCCTCGGTGTTGTTCAATTAACTCTTTGTTTCTTTCTTTTTTCAAATCAGAGTCTGGCTTTGTCACCCAGGCTGGAGTGCAGTGGCCACCTCTGCCTTCTGTGTTCAAGTGATTCTCATGCCTCAGCTTGTCAAGTAGCTGGGATTACAGGTGCACACCCCCACACCTGGCTAATTTTTGTATTTTTAGTAGAGACAGGGTTTTACCATGTTGGCCAGGCTGGTCTCAAATTCCTAACCTCAAGTGATCCACCCGCCTCGGCCTTGCAAAGTGCTGGGATTACAGGTGTGAGCCACCATGCCCAGATACTTTATTATTTTTTATTAAAAATAATATTTGTATTTTCTCATTGCACAAAAGACTGAGAGGGCAAAAAAAAAAGTCTATTGAAATAACTGAAACATAAATTAAAATTGAGTTTTATAACCCAATGAAAGTTTCACCCACATAAAATATTTCAGTCTAGAGGAGAACCTCTTATTAGAATGATTGTTTTATTCCTGTAGTCTGCCAGACTGTTAGGTAATATATAACATTCAATTTCATGAATTAAGAAAGCCTGAGACGGCTGGGTGCGGTGGCTCACACCTGTAATCCCAGCAATTTGGGAGGCCAAGGTAGGTGGATAACCTGATGTCAGGAGTTCGAGACCAGCCTGGCCAACATGGCAAAACCTCATCTCTGCTAAAAATACCAAAATTAGCCGAGTGTGGTGGAGCGTACCTGTAGCTGGGTAACCCCAGCTGCTCGAGAGACTGAGACAGGAGAATTGCTGGAACTCGGGAGGCAGAGGTTGCAGTAAGCTGAGATCCCACTACTGCACTGCAGCCTGGGGGACACAGCAAGACTCTGTCAAAAATAGAAAAAAAAAAAAAAAAAAAGCCTGAGATCTATTTTGTAGCCTTGTATTTTAATAATAATGGTGCAGCAATTCCTAGGGAAATTACTTTGGATGTGCTACAGTTTCACAATTTAGATCATTTAGCTGTTTGCTTAAATGTCTTTAAAGGCCTTAAATTGAAACAAAATAATATTGAGTTTATTTCTTTTACTCTAAATAAAGATATGAACTATGAGCCATCAGACACAAATCATAGATTGTGATAAATGTGGGGAACTCAGCACAAGCCTACAGGAGAGTAAAGTCTTAAGCATTTCTTTTTTTTTAAGGCAATTTTATAACTTTATTTGATGTATTTGACGATCAGTGATTGGGTCTCATCCACATTCACCGTAGATTTTTGGAAAGTGGTAACAGGTACAAAGGTAACCAAAGTATAGAGCTTATTTGGTGGCTCTTCATCCTCACTACGTTTCCTGGACAACCACACACGGATTCGGTATAGGACATTCCTTATGCCTTTGGCCCAGACAGCACTGTGGAGCCTGGTATCAATGCGCACCTCTGGAGTTCCCATCGCCTTCATGGCAAATTTCCGAATCTCTCCGAGTGCCCGCGGAACACGCTTCTTGAAGCCCACTCCATGGATGCGCTTGTGAATGTTGGTGTATTCTCGGATCACCACCTCTCTGAAGGCAGAACGGCCCTTTTTCTTCTCGCCACCCTTCTTTGTGGGAGCGGTTCCGTCAGGTCCCAGTTGGAAAGGAAACGCGCGCGCGAGGGATTGCAGAGGAAGAAAAGTCCACACTTTTTCTTTTTTATTTCTTTTCTTTTCTTTTTTTTTTTTTTTTGAGACGGAGTTTCGCTTTTGTTGCCCAGGCTGGAGTGCAATGGCACGATCTGGGCTCACCACAACCTCCTCTCGAGTTCAAGAGATTCTCCTGCCTCAGCCTCCCAAGTATCTGGGATTACAGGAATGTGCCACTACGCCCGTCTAATTTTGTATTTTTAGTAGAGAGGGAGTTTCTCCATGTTGGTCAGGCTGGTCTTAAACTCCCAACCTCAGGTTATTTGCCAGCTTGAGCCTCCCAAAGTGCTGAGATTACAAGCGTGAACCACCGTGGCCAGCCAAGTCTGAAACATCTCAATTGCCAAAAGATTGACTAAGGCTCTGTTTAATTATTAGTGTTATAAAAAGTGAGTAATATTTACCTGGCCATAATAGTATTGCGTAAAAATCACTTATCTTTCCCGCCGGGTGCCACATTTCTCACAGTTATTTAAAAGAATGAGAAGAAAACTTAACTTAGTTACTTCTTTCCAAAATGACCATTTCATCATCTTGTATAATTTGGCAGAGAAGAGGATTATTAAGGAAGTTGATGCGAAGGTTCTATATAAAATCAGTGAAAAATGCCTTTGTTAGCAAAAGGTACAAGCAAAAATGCACTATTAAACAACACTTTGGCAGGAACTAACAGGTTCAGTACTTACAAGCCTTCTGTCAAAAACTCCCCATATCTGATGCAATCAGTATATTTAAATGAAGAATATTTTAAGGTATTTGTTCTTTTTTTTTTTTGAGACGGAATTTCGCTCTTGTTACCCAGGCTGGAGTGCAATGGCGCGATCTCGGCTCACTGCAACCTCCGCCTCCTGGGTTCAGGCAATTCTCCTGCCTCAGCCTCCTGAGTAGCTGGGATTACAGGCACGCGCCACCATGCCCAGCTAATTTTTTTTATTTTTAGTAGAGACAGGGTTTCACCATGTTGACCAGGATGGTCTCGATCTCTTGACCTCGTGATCCACCTGCCTGGGCCTCCCAAAGTGCTGAGATTACAGGCGTGAGCCACCGCGCCCGGCCTTCTTTTTTTCTTTCTTTTTTTAGATGCAGTCTCGCCCTGTCGCCCAACTTGGAGTGCAATGGAGTGATCTCAGCTCGCTGCAACCTCCGCCTCCTGGGTTCAAGCAATTCTCGTGCCCCAGCCTCCCAGGTAGCTGGGATTATAGGCGCATCCACGCCAGTTAATTTTTTGTATATTTAGTAGAAACGGGGTTTCACCGTGTTGCCAGGCTGGTCTCGAACTCCTGACCTCGTGATCCGCCCACCTCAGCCTCCCAAAGTGCTGAGATTACAGGCATGAGTCACCACACCTGGCCAAGGTGTTTGTTCTTAATAAACCCATATTATAAACATACCGAAAGGGCCTTTCTGGTTTGCTCACGCAAGGAGTTCACCATAAATCCAATTTTACAGGAGTATCGGTTCCTAACAGATATGTCATAATGTCTTGGAAGAGTATTGTCAGGAAGTTTACAGTGACTGTAATTCATTAACTAAACTTTAACATCATCATGCAATATGGGTTCAGGTGACATTGTTGAATACCTTTTGGATTTTGGCAAAGATGCCTTAGAGTCATTAGTTATCTGTCAATAATTGATGAATCCTTTCTGAAATCTGTTAGCAAATATTTTTTACCATTATAAACATATTCTTGTAAATGTGAGTCATGATAAGTATTCCATATCGTGGTATCAAACAAGTTGAGTGGGGTAGTGAAGGTGTTTAAAACAGAATGTTGTAATGGAAAATGCCCACACTTGCCAAATGGAAAGGGTCAGAGGATACCTTGTTTGAGAAAAAAGTAAATACAAAAACTGAGGGTGTGGTTTATTTTGTGTCCTCTCCCCAGCATGGCCGGAACATAAATTGGAATATAAATTGCCTGTTAACTGTCGTTGAGGCTGAGTTCCAAGCATCTGTTATTTGTACCACATGTGAACATTACTCCAGCCTCACTTTCAGAAAAATATGTTCATTTCTCACAAAGCACTCAGTACTTATTTCTATTCAATCAACCTGATGGATAAGCTTCAAAGGACCAAAGTAACTCATTAATGTAATATTTCCTCAACAAGCCAGTGAGTTTTATGGGAAAGCAAGAGAGTGACAAATCACAAATAGTATTTTTTAAGGATTCTGTTAGAGGTTATTAGGCAAGCTGGTAATACTACTATCTCCAATTTTTTGTACATTCTTAAAAATAATTATGTCTGATTAGAGGCAGACAGTATAGCATGAAATTCTATCTTTGTGCTGTTACATGTTTTGTTTACCATAGTCAAAAAGGATGAGAAGAAAAGCAAATTATTTTATTATTTGTATTTATTATTAATAATAAATAATAATTCTTTATCCCATATTTCTTATTATTTTTTTATTTATGATTTAAGAGACAGGGTGTCACTGTGTGTTGCTCAGGCTGGTCTCAAACGTCTTCCCTTAAGTGATCCTCTTGCTTCAGCCTTTCAAAGTGCTGGGATTTCAGGTGCGAAGCCACCATGCCCCATCACAAATCACTTTATGATGCTGATTTTTTTTATTGTGGTTTTTCTGTTTTTGAGACAGTCTCACTCTGTCACCAAGGCTGGAGTGCAGTGGCACAATCTTGGCTCACTGCAACCTCTGCTTGCAGGTTCAAGTGATTCTTCTGCCTCAGACTCCTAAGTAGCTGGGACTCCAAGCGCATGCCACCACGCCTGGCTAATTTTTGTATTTTTAGTAGAGACGGCATGTTACCATATCAGCCAGGCTGGTCTCGAACTGGTGACCTCATGATCCTCCTGCCTCAGCCTCCCAAAGTGTTGGGAATATAGGCATGAGTCACTGTGCCTGGCCGATGTTGTTTAATTATATGCATCCTATGAGGTCTTCTATAGAGTCTCTAATAGTGTAAATAGAACTGGTGTCAGAAACAAAACTCAAAAACAGAAACTTTAGTATGTCTTCTAAAATTCCACTAAGGAAGATGTATTTTTCACTTAAGCTCTCAAGTCACAAAGCCCATATTCACTTTCTTTTTCTTTTTTTTTTTTTTTTTGAGACTGAGTCTCACTCTGTCATCCAGGCTGGAGTGCAGTGACAGGATCTTGGCTCACTGCAACCTCCACCTCCTGGGTTCAAGTGATTCTCCCACCTCACACTCCCGAGTAGCTGGGATTACAGCCATGCACCATCATGCCCGGTTAACTTTTTGTAATTTTAGTTGAGACCTGGTTTCACCATGTTGATGAGGTTGGTCTTGAACTCCTGACCTCAAATGATCCACCCACCTCAGCCTCCCAAAGTGCTGGGATTCCAGGCATGAGCCACTGTGCCTGGCCTCCACATTCACTTTTGATGACACTTTGAGTACTTTCTTTCTCTGACATAATACTGAGCACTTGATTTCTCATTTACATCTTACCATAAAAACTACTGGATTTCATCATTTTTGTCATTTTTACTTCTGAGGAATTCAAGGCTTAAAAAGGCCAAGCATTACTTTGCCACCAAGCAGGGAGCAAAGCAGAAATGGAGACCCTGAGATTTCTGACCTCAACTCTTAGGCTTTTAACCACCCTGCTACCCTGCCTTCATTCTTACCATGATCTCCTAATTTGTGCTTATACAGGCTGCATTCACCAACCAAAACTGAGTGGTTTCCTCAGGAAAACAGTTAGAGCTACAACCAGTGCACTGAGAGGATCTGATGGACAATGTAATTTTATAGACTGAATAAAAGGCCTTAAAAAAATGTGTATCCAGCACTTTGGCATGTGTAAAAGACCTACATATTTCAAAGCAGTTACAGATATAAAGTGTGCCCATAGAAATATATATTCCATATACTTGGGAGGTCAAGGCAGGAGGATCACTTGAGCCCAGGAGTTCAAGACCAGTCTAGGCAACATGGTGATACACAATCTCTACCAAAAAAATATAAAAATTAGCTGCGTGTGCTGGCTCACACCTGTAATCTCAGCACTTTGGGATGCTGAGGTGGGTGGATCACCTGAGGTCAGGAGTTTGAGACCATCCTGGCCGACATGGTGAAACTCAATCTTTAATAAAAATACAAAAATTAGCTGGGCGTGGTGGTGGGTGCCTATAATCCCAGCTACTTGGAGGCTGAGACAGAAGAATCACTTGAACCAAAAAGGCAGAGGTTGCAGTGAGCCAAGATCATGCCACTACATTCCAGTCTGGGTGACACAGTGAGACCCTGTCAAGAAAGAAAGAAGACAGAAAACAGAAAGAAGGAAAGAAAAAGGGAAGGAGGGGAAGGAAGGAAGGAAGGAAGGGAGGGAGGGAGGGAGGGAGGGAGGGCAGAAAGAAAAAGAAAAAGAAAAGACAGAAGGTCCCTTCTGGGTTTCCATCTAAAATCAAAGAAGAAATCATTGATTTTAATAATAATATTTTAAAATTCACCCTTCATGCCTTCAAGCCTGTAATCCCAGTACTTTGGGAGGATGAGGTGGGCAGATTACCTGAGGTTGGGAGTTAGAGACCAGCCTGACCAACATGGTAAAATCCCATCTCTACTAAAAATACAAAATTAGACTGGTGTGGTGGCACATGCCTGTAATCCCAGCTACTCAGGAGGCTGAGGCAGAATTGCTTGAACCTGGGAATCAGAGGTTGTGGTGAGCCTAGATTGCACTATTGCACTCCAGCCTGGGCAACAAGAGTGAAACTCCATCTTAAAAAAAAAAAAAAAAGAAAGAAAGAAAAAGAAAAATATCTTTCTAAGAAAATACTACCTAACATGGTGTTGACGAAAAGTAGATTGGATTGGTTCTGTGTATGAAAAGCAGCATGCTTATCAGCATGTTGACCTGGCTCCATCGACAGCCAGGATTACCAGTTATTTCACTTGGTGGGAACCAGTGCCACTTTGAAACTACCCACCTTTCATGAGCAGGTCTACTCGATAAATCTTACTTTTGTAAGGCTGT